ACAAAGCTTCCTCCCACAACAGCCCAAAACAAAGATCATTTACTGTCAAAAAAACTGAACTGACTCCTGCAAAGGAAAATGTACCTTAAAATTGTTCAGTTTAAGTCTTGTTGATGTGTGGAAGATTTATTATTTTCAGTGTCCGAGGCTCCGTTGGCTGATTCACGAAATTCCCACCACTTAAATCTTGATAAAGAACGAAATGCCATTTGGAACTGACTGGAAGATTTTTTGTGTGGGAAAGGATTTGCATTAGATTTAAACTTCTTGCTTGATCACCATTTTACCAAGTAAATTTTATTCTGCGCTTTCTTCCGAACTTTATTGTTTGCATCTCCACAGGCTGAGTATATTCTAAAAATGAGTATATAATCTCTGTCATAGTTTGTTTACGAATACCTTTATTAATGTTACAAACCTGCAGTACTGTGCTGGGCTGTCAGCAACCACATTGACAGTGTCACAAGCCTGCAGTACTGTGCTGGGCTGTCAGCAACCACATTGACAGTGTCACAAGCCTGCAGTACTGTGCTGGGTTGTCAGCAATCATATTGACAGTGTCACAAGCCTGCAGAACTGTGCTGGGCTGTCAGCAACCACATTGACAGTGTCACAAACCTGCAGTACTGTGCTGGGCTGTCAGCAACCACATTGACAGTGTCACAAGCCTGCAGTACTGTGCTGGGCTGTCAGCAACCACACTGACAGTGTCACAAACCTGCAGTACTGTGCTGGGCTGTCAGCAACCACATTGACAGTGTCACAAGCCTGCAGTACTGTGCTGGGCTGTCAGCAACCACATTGACAGTGTCACAAGCCTGCAGTACTGTGCTGGGCTGTCAGCAACCACATTGACAGTGTCACAAGCCTGCAGTACTGTGCTGGGCTGTCAGCAACCACACTGACAGTGTCACAAACCTGCAGTACTGTGCTGGGCTGTCAGCAACCACATTGACAGTGTCACAAGCCTGCAGTACTGTGCTGGGCTGTCAGCAACCACATTGACAGTGTCACAAGCCTGCAGTACTGTGCTGGGCTGTCAGCAACCACATTGACAGTGTCACAAGCCTGCAGTACTGTGCTGGGCTGTCAGCAACCACATTGACAGTGTCACAAGCCTGCAGTACTGTGCTGGGCTGTCAGCAACCACATGACAGTGTCACCAAGCCTGCAGTACTGTGCTGGGCTGTCAGCAGCCACATTGACAGTGTCACAAGCCTGCAGTACTGTGCTGGGCTGTCAGCAATCATACTGACAGTGTCACAAGCCTGCAGTACTGTGCTGGGCTGTCAGGAATCATACTGACAGTGTCACAAGCCTGCAGTACTGTGCTGGGCTGTCAGCAACCACATTGACAGTGTCACAAGCCTGCAGTACTGTGCTGGGCTGTCAGCAATCATACTGACAGTGTCACAAGCCTGCAGTACTGTGCTGGGCTGTCAGCAACCACATTGACAGTGTCACAAGCCTGCAGTACTGTGCTGGGCTGTCAGCAACCACACTGACAGGGTCACAAGCCTGCAGTACTGTGCTGGACTTTCAGCAACCATTGACAATTTCCAAGCCTGCAGTACTGTGCTGGGCTGTCAGCAATCATATTGACAGTGTCACAAGCCTGCAGTACTGTGCTGTGCTGTCAGCAACCACACTGACAGTGTCACAAGCCTGCAGTACTGTGCTGGGCTTTCAGCAACCACATTGACAGTGTCACAAGCCTGCAGTATTGTGCTGGGCTGTCAGCAGCCACATTGACAGCGTCATAAGCCTGCAGTACTGTGCTGGGCTGTCAGCAGCCACATTGGCAGTGTCCAAGCCTGCAGTGCTGTGCTGGGCTGTCAGTAATCATATTGACAGTGTCACAAGCCTGCAGTACTGTGCTGGGCTGTCAGCAACCACATTGACAGTGTCACAAGCCTGCAGTACTGTGCTGGGCTGTCAGCAACCACATTAACAGTGTCACAAGTCTGCAGTAATGTGCTGGGCTGTCAGCAACCACATTAACAGTGTCAAAAGCCTGCAGTACTGTGCTGGGCTGTCAGCAACCACATTAACAGTGTCACAAGCCTGCAGTACTGTGCTGGGCTGTCAGCAACCACATTAACAGTGTCACAGTCTGCAGTACTGTGCTGGCTGTCAGCAACCACATTAACAGTGTCAAAAGCCTGCAGTACTGTGCTGGGCTGTCAGCAACCACATTAACAGTGTCACAAGCCTGCAGTACTGTGCTGGGCTGTCAGCAACCACATTAACAGTGTCACAAGTCTGCAGTACTGTGCTGGGCTGTCAGCAACCACATTAACAGTGTCAAAAGCCTGCAGTACTGTGCTGGGCTCTCAGCAACCACATTGACAGTGTCACAAATGCACAAAAATTTGGACACAAAATTAATACTAAACAGTGAACACAAATATCGCAGAGAACCAGAAATCACAATGGCAAATACTCCAGCTGACAGCCTGAGAGAGTCTATTTGGCAGGAACACTTACCATAAGCGTAACCGAGCCAATCCCCAAGTACTCCTTGAGTTACCAATCAGGCTTTAGGAGATCTTATTCAACCGACACCTCCCTAACTAATCTGATGTATTACATGAGAACTGAAATGCCGATAGGGAACCTCATAGGAATGGAAACATATATATATATTATATATATATATATATATATATATATATATATAAATATATATATATATATATATATATAATTATATATATATATTAATATAGGGAGGTTCCACCTCTGGAACTGTCCTGGGGACCCTCATCCTCAGAGAAAAGAATAAACATACTTCAGGGTGAAGTCAAGGTTCTCCCTGAAGTATGTTTGAATATTGTCTTCTCCTACCACCCCCTATATTCTACATTCTATGTAGACTTTATTTAATGAGAAAATACATTGACAAAAATACAATAGGGAGTAGAACAACATAGATAACATCTCAGAGCTAAATCTCGAATACTTCGTCCAGCTCCCCGGTGGTGGGCCGCGTGCCCAGAATGCTGCAGGCATTTCTCCTCTGGATCGCAACACTGAGTCTCTGAAAGAGGAAACTGGTCGCTCTGTGACCCTTGGTTTCTGTGATGAGTTTTTCACCCAGCTCTCTGAGGAACTTTAGAGCACACTCGCCACATGTTCCAAGGGTCTCTGACCCTACTGGGATGAAGTTATAGCATGGGGGCAGGCCTTCATATTTGTGGGTCTTCTGGATCTCCCTGTAGCTGGCGGCTCCACTCCCTTCAGCTTCAGAGTATGGAAGTGTGTGTGTGTGTGTTATATATATATATATATATATATATATATATATATATATATATATATATATATATATATAATATATATATATATATATATATATGTCGTGCCTAATATGTAAAACTGGTCAATTAGCAAGAACTCATTTAAAATTAAGCCCTATCTAAAATTTTCTCTTATACGTTTAGAGATATATTTTTTCATTATTGTTAATGTAAAAATTTTTAATTTTGCACCAAAAGAATCTTAGAAAACTTACCAAACCTTATTATAACAATAACAATTTATTTTAGCCTAACCCAACTATATATACTTTAGATTTGTTTACAATAATTTAATATTAAACAAACACAGTGAAATATATTTTTTTCGTTAGGTTCAGAATGATTTTGGCGAAATTATTGCATACACAAATTTTCGCTTGTCCTATATGGCAAGATGAGCGTTGCTATTTAAGCCAAGATCGCAAGTTCTGCCTATTCGCCACGACATAATATATATATATATATATATATATATATATATATATATATATATATATATATATATATATATATATATATATATATATATATATATAATATATGAAGGGTTGTTGAGTGGTTCGGACATGTAGAGAGAATGGAACGAAACAGAATGACTTCGAGAGTGTATAAATCTGTAGTGGAAGGAAGGCGGGGTAGGGGTCGGCCTAGGAATGGTTGGAGGGAGGGGGTAAAGGAGGTTTTGTGTGCGAGGGGCTTGGACTTCCAACAAGCATGCGTGAGCGTATTTGATAGGAGTGAATGGAAACAAATGGTTTTCGATACTTGACGTGCTGTTGGAGTGTGAGCAAAGTAACATTTATGAAGGGATTCAGGGAAACCGGCAGACCGGACTTGAGTCCTGGAGATGGGAAGTACAGTGTCTACACTCTGAAGGTGGGGTGTTAATGCTACAGTTTTATAAACTGTAGTGTAAAGCACCCCTGTGGCAAGACAGTGATGGAGTGAATGATGATGAAGGTTTTTCTTTTTCGGGCCACCCTGCATTGGCGGGACTCGGCCGATGTGTTAATAATATATATATATATATATATATATATATATATATATATATATATATATTATATATATATATATATATATATATATATATATATATATCGGCACGTGCAGCATCACTCTGTGTTATGAAGAATAAAGAATCACAATCGCTGAATCTTGTGTATAAGTACCATTTGTTAGTAAGTTTGACATGGCAGACACTAGGCTGTCTGATTGACCAAGGTCCCAGCCCCGAAGTTATGTCTTTTTTTCATATACTTCAAGGCAAGGAAGGTCAGCAGGTTTAGTGCAATGAAAGATAGGGCAATTGTAATTCAAGGGATGAAAAACTCTTCGCCAGCATCAAGGCTACCCCTCCTCTTGAAGAAATTTGTGTCTGTAACAGACAGGTGTCTACAACTAACATATGTCTGGAACTGACGTGTGTCTGCAGCAGACATATGTTTGCAACAGACGGGTGTCTGCAACTGACATGTGTCTGCAGGAGACCTCTCCTCCAGCATTACAATCATCTCTATTCGACTGATAAAGTCTGCAGTGCGAGCGAGAGATTTCATAGGGAAAAAAGAAACCTAAGTGTTGCACATGGTCTGTCCATCATTTTTCAATATTGTATACCATATATAATATGAAAGAAACACTTCATCTCGGCGTTAGTATTAAAATGCTATGAAGGTTTTACACTTGAATGAGACTGACCGTGAGTATGGTCTTGGGAAGGTGCCTGTCGTCCTCTTCAGTGATCTGAGTTTCATGGAGGGTCCTGGGAAAGACAGGGGCGTGGTCGTTCTGATCTACCACCCGCACCACCACCCGCGCCTCGCTTCGCCCCTCCCCCGCCGCAGCCGCAACCACCAGCTCGTGCTGCGGTAGCCACCGCAGGGCACGCCAACCCAAAGAGAAAAGTTGTTAAAAGTTAAGAATAAAAGTCACAAACCCGTAGCTAAAACAATTCACGAGTCACCGGAACATTGGGATTTCTCCCTTCTTAAAGACGAAAAGCTAACTAAAATGATGCATGTTCTTAGGCATTCAAGTAAATTAAGATGTTTTATAATCCCTAAAGTTTAGCAATATTATGTTGGGTTGCTAATTTTGCTTCACAGTTTAATCTAGGCATGTAAAAAAATTGCATATTTTTACAAGTTTAAATGGCCAAAGTTACTGTTCACGGCTTTATTTAGATTATGCAACTCAGATCTGGTCTCCACACGGCAGTACGATGATAAAATATACCCACAGTACATGGGTTATCGAATTTTATTTATGAGGACGTTTCGCCCACCAGGAACCTCTCTGATTCATATAGAGAATAATAAGACATGGTTGGAGGGAAGTCCCGAGGTGGAAGAATGAAATCAAGTACGAGTAGCCAGGAGAATGAGGTAAGGTGATCACAGTATCAGGGAGAATAAGCCTCGCTAAGACTTTGGAGATTATGTATGAGTCAGAGTTTTGAGAAATAGTATTAGCTGTGGCTATTACTGCTGTATCTAAACAAACTAGTGCAACGGTCAGTTTAAATGAGAATTCCTGGTGAAATAATTGTCTTCACAAATGCAGTGCCATAACATGCACATTGTGTCTTATTTACATACGGGTCTACGTATTACAGAATGATGCAGTAAGATCACAGTAAACAGGTAATCTCACAATATGCAGAACAACCAATGTGAAAAAATAGTGAACTTCTTCGACAATGTTCCTTGACAAAGTTCCTTGATAATGTGAGAAATCACAGAAACGCTTGGAAGTTCACTATTTTTTTTCACAGTGGTTGTTTTGCATATTACAGAATGAATATAAATGCAGTGGAGAACAGGCAGAGGCATGAAGAAGCTAATTCGCTGATGAAGAATCGTTCTTGAAAAGTGTAGCATGAGGGGAGATACTGTATGATTGAGGTATACACGTGGAAGACTTGTAAATATGATGAGGCTTCAAGATGGGGAATAAAGTAAATTTAGAAAAAATATGGAAAAGTACTGGTTTGGCCATGGATTTTTTGATGAGTAGAATAATCTTCCAAATAGCGTCATTGAAGCTAACGCCTTAGGTAACTTAAAGAACAGATTGGAGAAATAAACTAGTGAGGAGGACTGGGTGCTAGAATGACTTGTCGATCATGGGGGTCAGTAGGTCTCTAACAGTACTACTCTATTCTTACGTTCCTATATTGGGTAACTGATTTCCTTGGCGAATGGGAAGTGGAGGCGAATATTCCGATGACTCCAATTCTCAACAAATTCACACACTGTAAATGAAACTAGTTTCGGTTCGTTCTGGGCTCGTAGAACAAGTATCTTCATCACGATACAGGGCGAACCACAACTTTTTACTTTCACTTTCACTGTGCATCCTATGGAATATTAGCAGCTTACCTAAATATCTTATAATAAAAGCCAAATCCATGTAGGCGATTCAGCGAGAGAAGACACTAGACTCACCTGTTCTTGTTGTTCAAAGTCGAGTGGCTGGGTGAGGGTGAGACGTCCACTGGAACTATCTAAGGCAAAAAGTCCTTCCTCGTTGCCTTCCTTGACTGTGAAGACCACTGGCTCACCTGAAGCAGCAGGAAGAGGGCGAACATTGGTCAGAATTAGAAGAGTGAGAAAGGAATGTTAATTAATTGGAGTAATGGAGAGTGGGGAGGCGCTGCTCCTACGCTGAAATCCTTTGATGGAATTGATTATGCTGTCACCATTAAGGAACTGTGTGAAAATGTTAAGAGCGTAGGGCAAAAAATTATTAATGAGCTTTTTTTTCACCACAGTGGCCGCTACTCGCCAAGGTAGAGTGACCCAGATGAGGAACCATTAATCATCGTCTTCTCACTAAATGTCTTGCCCAACATGCGCCGATGTTATAATCCAAATAACCCTTGTAAGTATAACATTATTTTCTATCGTGTATAGTGCAAGCTCTTTACTTTCCACTTCCACCGGCAGTTCAATATTCATGAAGAGTCAGTCTAAATGTGGGTTATATACTGACTCTGAAAGATATCTTAGGAGACTGGTGGTAAAATAAATTGTTCTTTTCCTTTTGCGTCTCTTTCTCTCCAGGGATTCCCATTAATATTTAAGAGAGGAGACTGCAAATGTGCAATGAATTATCTCGCTGTTAGTCTGAGATCTGTCTAACTAAAAGTGGAAACCATTACACCTGACAGGATCGTAAATTTCCAAGGTGAATATAACACCAGATAATCAACTTGAACTCTGCAACAAAAGATTCTATCTGGCAACCTTTTTTTTTTATTTCATTGCGTCTTCAATTTTCGTACTGGTGAAAAATCTAAAAGCATTCGTTTCCTCTCGAGATTGTATAAATAATTTTCATAAGGGTTTAAAGGTTTTTAAATTTTATTTAATAAATTAGAAAATTTCAACTGATTTGTACGTTTGGTGTTTGAATAATATTTTTTGATGAGTGGTAGACGGATGGAGTAAGCATGATCTACTCAGTTTTTTAATTCAAGAGTGTCCATCAACAGAATTAATAATGGTGATTCGGATTTACTGATATAAGTCAATAAACACTGAGGATTGTACAGACTTGTATCATCATGAAGAGAGAATAACAGATGTTATATTCCATGATGAGCAAAGCTTTCATTATACCTGAGCCAAATGTTAATAAAATTATTAGCCAGGTAGACAGCAACCTTCCAGGCAGTTATTGTCTTCTTGTTATATATAGTAACTTGGTAGACAACAACCACTCAAGGATGTACTATCGTCCTGTGTTATGCAGGTTGCTGCATTTTATGTAAAGAGAGGTTATATTGCAAGGAAAAATTTCCATAACTGTATAAATGTCAGCATATTGGAACGCTCTGACATCACTCCTCTCAGAGTGTTCCAATATGCTGACATTTATGCAATTATAGAGAATTTTTCTTGCAATGTAACCTGTCTTCACATAAAATACAATATGAGAGTGAAATAGTTTGCTGATAATTGTCTTGCACTCTGTCAGGATTGCTTGTTCTTTGTTTTGTGATCTTGCAAGATGGAAGGTATATCATATAATCTTCTACATAAGCTTCCATTAAATTTGCCCTTATAAAGGTTCGTATAGGTTCCTATATTGCAAATGTAACTTTATATAATGGTTATCTGGTTAATACGGTTTAAGGGTTGAGACATTTATGCAACTTATGGGAATCTTTATTAAGGAAACGTTTCGCCACACAGTGGCTTCATCAGTCCAATACAAAGCAGAAAGGTTTTCAAAACCATTCATCACAACTGTCAGACACTGCATCATCATGGAATCTTGATACAAAAATTCTTCAACACTTGTTCAACCTTTGGACGAAGACCTACTTCGACTAGTGGATGGTATCACTATGACCCCGCCTCCGCCTGCTTCACCTTACCTGACTACAGTATATAAGCCACGTCTACGGCCCTATGCTGTACATTCTACAAGATTGAAGGACTGAAAACATCGACTCCAGGCTAAGGGACTGATTACCTCAAACTCTTCCTCTCCTTACACCTTTCTGCTTTGTATTGGATTGATGAAGCCACTGTGTGGCGAAAGGTTTCCTCAATAAAGATTCCCATATGTTGCATAAGTGTCTCAATCTTCAACTTGTCGGTTTTCAAAATCATTCATCACAGGGTTTAAAGGGTATAGACTGCGTTACGATTATTAAAGCTGCATGTAACTTCATTACAACCAGACAAGAATATTTTAATTACTAAAATAAGAATTAAGGTAAACTCTTAGCATATATACGATGGGAGAAATACACCTTTCTCTGTATATAACCTGTATCATATATAATATGATGTTGAGTGGTATATTGGTCTACAACCAGTTTAATTCTATATCTGTAAAGGCATGTGTGTGTGTGTGTTCTCTTGGTTTATGTAAAGTTCTTATGTAAAGTCTTCATCACGCTAAAATCTTTGGTATATCGCCTCTCGTTTTCCAACCCATTTTATTAATATAAAATCATAAACCGTGTGTGTATATACTCTTGTGGTGAGAGTGGCGGAGTGCACACTACTGGCGGCAGTGAATTATTTTTGTCATAATTATCACTGTGTTAACAGTTGATAATTAAAGATCATATAACTAAAGGTCATATAAATATTGCAGTGGTATTGTTATTCCGAAGCTGCTAGAAGGAACACAGGAGACTAGTTTCTGAAGAATGTCCAAAATGAACAGCAGGAAATTGTAACAAGGGGTGATGCAAAGGAGTGGGAGGGGGAGCGGGGGAAAAGGTTGTCATCTTCGAATTAATGAACACTCAGATGACATCACCTGCAGCAAACTTCAAGCGAAATTAAGAGTACGAGTCGAGCCAAAAGACTTAATTAAAACTTTTTATTACATGTGTGTGTGGAGAGGAGTGAACACTGGTGAACCTACATCAAGGCTAAAGAGAGAGGGGTGCCAGGGGTTCGGGCCTGAGAGACAGCCTCAGGATACCGACTCTTCTAATTACAGTGACGTATCATAACTGTTATAGGTAAATATCATATTATACAATGGTCTTTATATTATCAGTAAATATATTACTGTAGCATATTGTCCTCATACAGATAGTTAAGATGCCAATCGCCAAATCAACCTACATATACTTTTGTAATTAATAGGACATTTATTAACAGTACATTAACTGTTACAATGAAAAAAATTGTAGTTCAACTAGTCCCATAAAATTTAATTCAAAATAGCTTTTGCCATGAAAGAGAAATTAGTCAGTTAGGATGAAATTTGTGACGTTGCCACTTTTGACTATTTTCACGTGTGGCAGAAATAATATAGCAGATGCCTGTAATGAGGGAAGCAAATTTAATATACAGAACACAACATCTCTTAATAACTGGTTCCCTATAGATATCTGACCCTAAATGACATGTTAGGAACTAGAATATGGTTATAATTATGACATTGATGTTTAAAAGGGTGGACGGGTAAGCTAGTGGAAGGCCTCCGTCAGATGACCAAAAGCTCCAGTGTCGGATCATCATATGAGTAAACACTCTCGTTGGGAAACACTCACTCTGTTTCCTGACAAGTCTTACCTAACCTACCCTTGGAAATAACAAGTCTGGGAAGCTCTCAGTCTTACATACCTATACTTATTACAAGCAGTTTAATGAGTAATAAGTGTAAAGTATGTAAGATGACATAGGATTTACACTTGACAGGGCCCCTGACGAATATGTCAGGATCGATGCCAGCTAGAACAGCGGCTAAGAGACGAGAACCACAACTAACCGTAGCGGCAGAACTTGAGAGACTAACTCCTGCTAGGTACCATATCTCTCAGCGCGACCGTCAATCATTCAGAACCTGGTGTGCATGATCATCAACCATTCAGAGCCTGGTGTGCACGACCGTCAACAATTCAGAACCTTGTGTGCGCAGTGCCGATACTTGTACATAAAGATTTCCCGTTTATCAGCTGAGGTAGTCAAGCAATAATATGAACCCTACCTTACATATACATATACACACCTGTCGGTGTATATACCCTGAGATATTCACATCTCTCAGTGTATATTCCCTCACATATGCGCGCCTCTCTGTGTATATATCCTGGAATATTCAAGTCTGTCAATGTGCATACCTTGAGAGGCGCGCTCACCTCTCCATATGTTCTCTCACTATCTTCCATACCATTTTGTTTTGTTTTATTTCAGCTTATTTACTGAAGTTTCAGCGTGTGTGTAAGCTAATGCAGTACTTTAACTGAAGTCTGAGTGCCTCTGAAATCATGGCAATTTCCGTGTTTCATTATATTTTTTTTTTTTTTTTTTTTACAGTGAATCGAGGCTGCTGGTCCTTCATAACTAATTATCATTACTCGTCACTGCTCGATTATAATTTACAATTTACGTTTCCATCGTAAAATTCAGCTTTTCGAAATGATTTAAGGGTCATTATTTCCTTTGCATGTTCAAATTATTAATTAAAATTATATTTGATAGGCCTATATAATTAGAGAGGATTTCATAGTGTCATGAGTCATTTAACATAATAATTAGGTAATTTGTAGGGTAATTAGGCTCCCAGTGAAAAGGGGGAGGGGGGTGCCTTGATGCCGGCGAAAAGCTCCTGACACAAGGAACTAGAACCGAAACCTCCACAACCGCTAATACCTACAACCACCACATACCTACCAGCTACCTAATACCACTACTACTACTACTACCACCACCACCACCACCACCACCACCACCACCACACCACCTACCAACTACTCACTGCAGTTACTCTCGCTCACCACAAGGAACAACAACATTAAAGAACAGAAAGCACCACCACTAACAACATCAAAACACCTACAACATCTACTATATGCTACAGAGGCCGTATGTTGGTTGGGTTGTAAAATCCACTAGGAACAGTGGATGGTGCCGAATAGATAGCCATTGGATTTTGGCTTAAATAGCAATGCTCTTCTTGCCGAATAATGCAAGCAAAAATTTCTGTATGCAATAATTTCGCAGAATCATTCTGAACCTAACGAAAAAATATATTTCATTGCGTTTATTATTAAAATATTGCAAACCTATCTAAAATATAAGTATTTGGTTGGATTGAGCTAAATTAAATTACGCTTGTTATAATAAGGTTAGGTAAGTTTTCTAATTTTTTTTGGTACAAAATTACTAATTTTTACATTAACATCAATGAAAAATATAAATCAGGACTCAATTTTAAATAAGGTTTGTAGATGAATGGTTCAGAGAACCGACATGTTGATAAATTAGACACATGTGCAACTCTTGGGTATCTTTATTGAGGAAACGTTTCGCCACACAGTGGCTTCATCAGTCCATACAAAGGAGAATCTTGAATAAGGTCTTGCTAAGTGACCAGTTTCACCTATTCGGCACGAAGAATTTCAG